TTTGGGAACACTCTCAGCTTTTTTTGTTTTTTTTGTTTTTTTTGTTATTACCTTCTCCTCAGACCGTTACATCAAAGCGTGGCGATGAGTGGCGCCTGAGCAAAAAGAATCTTGTGAGTGTAATGGTAACGTGATCACGGTTATGATTGAGCGGAAATGTTAGACAAGCATCTAAGTTTCCTCTGCCGGCTTCCACCCCTCCTCGTCTAGCCACATGTGAAACCACACTGGAACTGCTCAGCGGCCAAAGTAAACGCTGCACACGATTTGCCTGGCATGTGTTTACACTGGATGCCAGGTCTGCATGCCGATCCCTTACTCCTATTCTGCTGATAGATGATATCACACATTCGAAGTCTTCTTTCATAATCAATGAATGCAATGAACCTTTAAGTGTGACATGTTTCCCATGGTGGGCTGCAAGATTTAAAAAAAAAAAAAAGGGGCAGTCGCAGTCAAAGTCCGCTGTGTTTGTGTGAATGCGTGTGTGTGTGTATGTTTGTGTGTGTGTGTGTGTGTGTGTGTGTGTGTGTGTGCAGGAAGGGAGCTTGTTCCTCGCTCTGACTCATCTATAAGGCTGAGAGCTGCTCTGAGTCTGCAAAAAAATCTTTACAGAACAAAAAGAGCATGCCAACTAATTCTCTAATTGAGTAGGAAGCTGCTCTTTAATGACCCCTGGATGTAAATCTGATGTTATTTATGATTAGAACTGAAAGCTGAAAGAAAGCTGATTCATATGATTAGCGTTGTCATACATAGCTCCGGGCCGCCCCCCTAATATAATGGTAGGGGAAACACTGCTTTATATGAACTGTGTGGCCTGTTTACTCTTTCCTGCCTGCACTTATAGAACATGAAAAGTTCAGAGTTCTCCAAAGGGCAAACAGACAGCAGTCATTTAAAGGCCGAGTTTGGGCATTTAGGAAGCTAAAGCAGTTCACCCAAATTAAGAAGAGACATATTTTGCCACTTAGCTGCTGAGTTATATATAGCAGTGCAAGTTTTCTGGGTTCATTTCCTCAGAGTTTAAACTATCTCTCTCTGAGGTTCCTGTCAGCACCACAACTTCTACTTTAGATCATTCACAGAACAGAACAGATCTCATTGGGGCTGTAACTAATGACAATCTTCATAGCTTTTATAGTCACATGTTTGTTCTAAGACATCTAACAACGATGGCAAACACCTGTTAAAGGGCGATAATACAGTTAAGCATAAGATCAAGACTGTAAATAAGACGTGATGTCGCCACTGTGTCTCAACTTGGTTTTAGGTTCAGTTCGATTGGTCATTGGGAGTTTTTTTTTTTGGTATTCCAGTCCGGAAAGTTTTAGGCAAATGTTACAGGAAGAGCAAGGGGTAAAAAAAAAAAGAAACAAGTTACCCTCATTCCAAAACTATTTCTTGATTTTACTTTTGATTTTCTGAAATGTCAATGGAGGATTTGAATGGGGAATTTCCTTCTGGAAACATCCGCCGAAAAAAGTGGACGGTCACTGAAGGAAGACAACTACAACAACCAAACTGGTGCCAGTTGGAAAGTAGTGGGTTTTGTTGACTCTGATAAACAAGAGACAGTATGTGGAGCTAATGTGCTGGCCCTGTCAGAGTTTCTGTTCTGAGCGTTAAGGTTGAACCAAATGTGAAAATAGTGTCTGCTGATTTGTGGAACCTGCTTTCCATCATCAGCACAAAATACAGCTGAGACAGCACCCGGAAAAAAAAGTGTGGCAGTGAAAGCGTTTTTCTCTTTCCTGTTCCAAATCAAGTGTCATTAACATGAGTCAGGCCTTTGTTTATGTGACACATACAACACCTAATTATGTCAGATTAACGTCAGACCCCACGACATAGAAACTGAAGCCTACAAAAATAAAACATTAACGATAGAAAACTGAGACAATTCAGTTTTTCCTTTGTAAAGGGAAACTTCCAGTTCTAAATCCTGAGTTACCATAAACTCAAAGCCCTTGACAGACAGACATGACATTGCCAGAGATCGACGAAACTTCACCTCTGTCTCATAATGACTTCTCGCAGCACCAACTTCATCAGCCTTTTTTTTTTTTAAGATATTTTTGGGTTATTGGACAGGACAGCTGAAGAGGGACAAGAATTGTTGGGAGGAGAAAGTTGGTGATGACATGCAGCCAAGTGCCGAGGTAGGATTGGAACCCACAAACGCTGTGACGAGGACTATAGCCTCTGTACATAAGCAGGCGGTATAACCACAAGCTATCGGCGACGCTCGTCAATGTTTTTTCCGATACGCAATTTTTTGTCTGTTGACTCAAGGATTTTTTGCGCTTGCAGAGGGTTCGGTCCACTCTTTGGTCAACTTTAAAGATGTGAAGGAAGGCAGAAGGAAAGGTCATGAGGTATCCCAGATGTGGCCTTCATTGTCGTTCACTATGACACATTTACATGGGCTAAAACAACAGATTTCCAGAGTCGCAGGGTCCAGAAACCCTACATTTGCTGGATTGTGCTTTTAATGTGAGGTCTGACCTCAACATTAGGAGGTTTCTAATCCAAAGAATCACATAGACAGGGATAGTGTCAAATAGACAGTAACACCAGTTACACAGACAGTTCACAGAGACTTCATCAGAAATCCAATTCAAAAAGCCGTGTGAAGTTATGGCCACAAAGCTTTCTATGTAAGAATAGGCCTTAAAATGTACCAACTACCAAGGATTATATGTGCTTTCTATCAAACTTTGTAGAGTAACTCATGTGGAGCGACAGGTTCACTCAGCTGCTTAACGTAAGACACACGTCATCATTTCAACATTCAACACAAAAACTGAATGTCTACTATTGGAGCGCTTTTCTGAAGCTGACTGACCTTTGACCTCCCTACTGTGGAGACCAATAAATATAGAATTATATACAGAAAATCCAAAATGTCCTAAAGTGTCTCAAAAAATGTATTTACAGTCCAAAAACTGCATCCCTTCATACGCATAAAGTAGCCATATCAGCTCTCTGTGGACTGCACAATTAATCGCAATGTCATCATTAACACATCACAGAAGTCGGAATTTATTGCAATAAATTAAGAGATATTATTCTATGTTAGCAAGTAATGCTTTCTCACTCACATTAAGCTTAAGCTAGCTATGGGGAAATATGAAGAAAAAAAAAACATATCATAAAAGTTATAACTAATATGCTCTCTTTAGTTCTTGGTTTATTTATCACACTTCGTATCATTTGCGTAGTACTGGACAATGTTATCACACCTTGCATTATTTTCCCATATTTGCAGGCCTCCTATCTCATACCGTTTCTGAGTGTCTTAATATGTTAATATATCTTTTAACATCATTGGACAGAAGTATTTGAATTGAAACATTATAGTAAATAAGTCCTTTCAGGAGGCCGGCAATGACCCACTTAATAGGATGAAAGTGTCGGAGCTACAGGGCTTCAGACTTGTGCATCACCTGCGCTACATTTATCTGCAATTGTATCAAAAATAGAAAATGCCTGCATGTCTGCACGACAACATCCTTACAAAAGATGCATTGTAAGTTATGTGTCTGCAGCAATTCATCTTAAATCTACCGAAAAATCCTTCAGAGCTCGAGTTTTTAAACTGATTATGACGCAACTTCAAACACTAAAGTATTAAAGTGATAAAAGCCTTTATGGATAAATCTATCATGAAATTTCCATTTAGTAGCCGTATATAAATACAAATTGCCAAATGAGAACATCGGATTTTTGCTAACGCAATCAATTAAATACTTCAAAGATCAGAACACTTAAAGATCAGAACACTTAATCAGTTTCATGCAAAAAAAAGTGTAAATCAAATCAGGTCAGGCCTACAGAGCCAGAACTATCAAACACAACGAAACATCTATCTTTCTCCTCTGTCCTGTTACTCACTTTCCAAGCCCGACACAGTCTCAGCAGACGGCTGTTCATACTGAGTGTGGTTCTGCTCGAGGTGTCTGCCTCTTAAAGGAACTGTTTTCCTTACCACTGTAGTGACTTTGCTAAATGTTTCTTTAAGTGCTGTGCTAATGATGGATTTATGTTGGGTCTTTGTAGATAATACAACAAATGAGTGAGACACACATGATGAATGTCTGTCAATCCTACATGTAATGTGAATCAATAAATAACTCGGCGTAAAGCAGGGCAGACACACTCTAACAGGTCTGCTGCATCGCTCCTCTCTATTGCTACACACTCCTCACTCTCCACCTTCAAGAAATCCCTAAAAACTCACCTTTTCTATCTCCTAGAAACCACTCACAAACTCTGTTCTCATCCTCCTTCTCTTAAGACTACTTCTTCTTCGTATTGTTTACATTGTTTTGGACAGTTGTTGTACTTTGTTAGAAGTCTTTGAGTATTCAGAAAAGCGCTTTAAGACTAATGTAGGCTATATTACTAGTATTAGTATTAATAATCCAACCAAATGCACACCCGTGTTGCACGACAAGGTGCAACCAACTCATGCTCTCTCCTCTGAAGTTCCCCTCTGTTGCAGAGTACAGGTGGACGTGCACAGCTGACATTCAGGAGGTGAGCAGAGGACAGCACAATAACAGTGAAAAGTGTGTTTGCAGACCTCTCAGACCGTGCTGCAGGGAATCCTAGCCTGATGACGTATGTCTGCGATGCACAGCTGCAGGGTTAGCCACAGGCCTGCTCTGCATTAGCTAAACACACACACACAGACACACACACACAGACACACACACACACACACAGACACACACACAGTGACAGCTCCAGTTCGTGTATCAACCCGCTGTTTCTTGCATGTGCATTTTCACGTTAAATCAATACTTTGTGAAGACTGATGTCCGAGTTGCAGCTGTTTTTCTCTCATTAAACACACATGACCAACAGAGCTCCTGACAGCTTCACAAGAAGGCTTCCGTGATAACACTGCAAACGAGCACAGTTTGGCTTCATTTTCTCCATCGAAAAGCGGCGGGTGGGTTGAAAATGTTGGATTAACTGTAAACATGTCTCACCTGGATCCCCAGTAATGTGGAGGAAGCACCTTCAGACTACACACGGGCTCATTTTTCGTAAATACCTGGTCAAACCGTCGATCCTCATAACTGTTTCTCTCCAGCCATTTTGGGCCAAACCGTTAACTTGATCCGGCGGGGGGAACAAATATCACCAAGCTAATTTTACATAATATTTCTCGATTCAAGGGCTCAGAAAGTATTAAATACAGTCTAGTAACAACTATTAGTTTGTTTAGACTGTAGTGTGTGTATCGGACAGCTAAGTAATGGCAAATGCAGTAACACGTTTCTGTATAACCCCCCCGTGAAGGCCAAAATGGTTCAGCTCGCAAAATTCTAGGGACCTACTTTGCTCTTCTCTGTCAATGCAGCCAATGAGCGGCTCAGTAGTAACCTGTAGCAGCACCACACACACACACACACACACACACACACACACACACACACACACACACACATGCGCGCGCGCACACACACACACACACGCACACAACAATGACTGTCAGATAGCTGAGAACACAAACACATCAAACACAAAAGCATTTTTTAAATAGTTATTTTAGGGTATTGTAACAGTGATGTTTTCTTCAGATATCTCAGTTTTAAGTATCCACCCACGTCATTTTAAAATAACGTAAGGAATATGCAAATAAGCTGTTGTGCTTTATCTCAGTCAAAGCAGCAATACCACAATGCGGAAAGACCCTTAAGTAATTTGCTTTTTTTTTTTTCTTATTTCTCACTATGAGTGTCTCCTTATTATGCAAATTGCGGTATAAGACTTCACCATAGTATGTCCAGTAACTGAAATAATACTGACAATGCAGGAATGGCCTTTGATGGTGTTTTTCTATATCAAATCATTTTTTTGTGATGCATTACCATACAACAGTGTTAAATTGTCTTAATAAATTGTATTGGAGCAATATTTACCTTGGAAATGTAACAATCAAGCTTTTTTTTGTATTTTCATATTGAAGTATATGTATTTTAATGCATCCTTAGTGTTATGTGGATTATGAAACATCTTATTTACTACAATCTTTACACAAAGGCCCAACTAGAGACAAGGGTTGGACATTAGAAATAGCTATAAACTCTCTGTGAAGCACAATAGTTTCATGTTTTGTTGTGAAACTTTGTTCAATTGAAACATTCCTATTTAAAAAAAAAAATACATTACATTACTGCAATAATGTTGTACAAGGCCTCAGTTTAGTGATATAATCAGATGCTAATCCAGTAAAATTCACCTCATCAAATCTTATTTCAGTTGGTTATAACAGCCTACTTGAATCATTTCATGTTTGTTGGGGAATTTGTGAAACTAAAAAAAACTAAACTAAATAAGGCATGTGAAAGAGAGATTAACTTCATTGTCCCAGGAGGGAAAGCCTGCACATGGCCATGTCTAACATGAAAGCAGACAATAAAACATGGTTATGTTGCATAATGTGCATAAATGTGCATATATGACACACATATTCTGTGATGTCACAGATTAAATGATTGGGTTTTTTTTTAAAGAGGAACAAGACTCCCCAAAACTTGAAAAGTAGGTTCCAGTCTCTGGTTTTTCCTTGTCTTTGGGAGCATCTTTTTATTTATGCACACATATGATTAGTATTTGCAAAGTAGGACAGAAAACCCTGCACAGAGGATGTTTATGGGGGTCAGAAAGGGCTCAGTAACAAATTTCAGTGGTCATGAACTCATTCAGTAAAGTGACTAGTAACCCTAGCTGTAAATTTATTTTAGGTGGGTAAAATATTCCATCAAAATTGAAATGGCATTGGGGCACCAGTAGCCTGGTGGTAAATTTGTGCGCCCAATGTATAGAGGCTGTAGTCCTCCAAATGGGCGGCCGGGGTTCAAATCCTTTGGCTTCTTTCCCACATATAATTCCCTAATCTCTCTCTCTTGCTCCCAAATTTCCAATTCTATCTTCTGACCTGTCTATGTTATAAAGACATCAATCCATCCATCTATCCAGTTTCTCCCGCTTATCCGATGTCGGGTCACAGAAGACGAAGTAAGTCAACCCAGACTTATCTCTCTCTCCAGTTACATATTCAAGCTCCTCCTTTAGGGGATTCCAGGGTGTTCCCAAGCCAGACGTTATATAATCCCTCCAGCTAACTCTGGGTCTAAAACCAGGGTAATAAAGGCATTTACAGCCCAAAAAATTGAAATGGAGTTGAAATTTAAAATAGCCTAAAATTGAAATATGGAAGTAAAAGCAAACACTTAAAACTGTAGAGAATGTTTGTTTTGGTAGCCTACTTGAATATAGTAGAATATAGTATATTTATACACATCAGTGCATGTGAAGCCACCTGGAGTTTTTTTCTGTTGACATCACTGGCGCTCTTTTCCAAACGTATAATATTCCCCATATTGTTCCCTCACAGGGATGGTGTCTTGTACCCACATCCTCTTTGCCTCATGTTTGATCAGGAAATAAACCATATATAAATAAAATAAAACACACAGTAAAAAGCAACGGAGCAGTGTCGGTCATACAGCGGCCGTTGTCAACAGACTGTTGTCATAGAGACAGGACGGACGTGCAGCACTTTTCTTCTCAGCCCCCGAGTGCACAGCCAGCACTTTTCTGCTCAGAAAAAAACGCTAGGTGGACACTGGCCTAAGTCTAATACATGTGCTAAACTCTTGATGGCAGTGTAAATAAAATACAATTTCAGCCTTTTCAGACTTAATAGATGCTAACACAGCTAGCCTACTGCAGCTTTCTTACAATTACCACAGTTATTGCTAAAACTGATTCTGCTTATACACCCATGATTGTGGGTTTTTTTGTTCAATATTTCCAGTAATATTTTGTTCTAATGAAATAATTAGGGTTAGAAGAGGGAATCATGTGTCCATTAAGTGTCCTTATAATGACATTAATACATGTTTGTGTCTTATGAATGCTTGAGTCCCATTTCCACATCTGATAAAGCGAATGTTTGTAATTATGATAAAGGATGAATCTATTGTGACACAAATGCGGGCCCGTAAACACACACATTTACATAGACCTACATCTAAATTGACACACACATTCACACGCCCTTTCTGCTGGTATTTCACACCACTTTCCTTGTGCAACGAAGCATGGTGTTGTTAGTTTTGCAATTTGAGTCACCTGGGGCTACACATGTCCTGTTGTGTTAACCGCTGTCACAGGCCTCAGTGTATCGTCCGTGGCAGGTAGCGATGCGTTCTGCCGGAGACTGTTTGCTTTTTATGCATGTGTTTGTGACAGACAGACAGACAGACAGACAGACAGACAGACAGACAGACAGAGAGGGGACAAGACATTTAGTTTCATGCCGCTCAGGATTTCTCAGTGTCTTTTTCTGTCACACACACACATTTACATTTGCACACACACTGAGAGGCAGCAGCGGTGACAGAAGCCCTGAGAAAAAAAGGCTTGTAATCAGGAACTTCAGTACAGGTGTTATGACTGCTGCTTTTCTGAAAGGCTCTGTTTCATGCTGATAGTGCTCGGCGAGTAATATCAATATTTCTCATCGCCCCAAAACAGGATATGAAAGACAGTTGCCTATTTTCTGCAACCCTTGATGAAACACTGAGGTACCACTCATGCCATATGACTGTAACTCTTGATCAAATCCTTAGGTATCACTCTGAAACATGTTTCTTTATTAAATACTGCATGATATGTTATTCTTCATCAGTGTGTAGCTGCATGGAGCTAACAGAAAGAGGTCTTAACTCTGGAAAAAAGTAGTTGTGGCATCCCGACTTTGTGATCAATACAAGGATCTTTAGCTCAGGGCCAAATAGAATTAAGAATTGCTTTAGGATAATGACAGTATCGACCTGCGCTCTGTAAAGCGTTTCGAGCTGTGGCAGGTTAATTCCCATCTATGAAGGTGTACAGGGAGCCAGTCTGAGTCAGGACCGACGGTCAAAGTAATTCTCTCCAGCGTGGTGGAGGTGCTGCTGTAGCGCTACACACAGCAACTCCTTTCCATCCACTTTAAGCTACTGCAATATAATTTACAACCTACTTTGGAAACTCAGACATTTGAGAGCCTCTATACCATCATATAAATGGAAGATTTGGCTCAACAGAAAGAAAAAAAAAGCTATACACTTACATAGACCACACTAGTAAAATTCAACTACTGCAAGGTTATGGAATTATTTATCCTCTCTCTTGGCATGTGACCACATCTCTGTAAAACCAAAAGTCCTCAGGCGACTCATGCAAGACATGTCATGAATTACAGGTCAGTATGAGTTATAGCCTGATATGGCTCCAAAGCATTTAGGGCTGACACTGTAATATAACATCATAACACAATTACAGCTTAGAAAAAAAAGGTTAGGCTAACACTTGTAGGAAGGAATTACCCCCATTGCCTTTTAAAAACAAAAACATGCCGTCAAAATACAAAAAATAAAAGATAGTTTAAGTTTTTCTTTTCAAGCACATATTTCTTTAAAGCAAGGTCTTTCGAGTGAGCAAGCCTTGTTGCATATTCCCTCTGTGAATAAAAGTAATTTACCTTGCTCATTATGTGAGACGTTGAGGTGTTTTGATGTTTGGAGATGAAAATGCTTTGAGATGAAATATTCATTTTTTATTTTTTTTAAGTTGGCTTAATTATGTATGTGTCCACTGTCAAGTTGGAAACTGCTGCTCCTGTGAGGGATGTTTCTAGCGTACCTTTTTTGCCATTGGCGCAGAATACATTACCGCCTTATTACGGGGAATGCCTGCATGGCGTACACTCATATGCAACCTTATGGAAATATTAAATGAAGAAGCTGCACACCTCAGTGGACACACTGAATAAGCATGAGCGTCTCCTGCTCGTGAGTCATAATCTGAAGGTTGGTCTGATTGTCGTTTTTGACTCATTTACTGCGTCATCTGTTGTTTTAGCTAAGACTTTGTTCTTTTCGTATGAAGAATATACCTGCACTTTTTTCGTTCTTGAATGTGGGACAACCTTATTCCAACGGTGATATAATGGTGCTCTGGATTATGAGCAGATGGTTGAGGTGCCTTGGGTGTACTTTGTCTGGCATCATGAAAGCCACATCCCACTGTGTGTGTCCAT